ATTCAGTTTTTCCTATCAGTATTGAAAAGACTGTCATTTCCCCATTGAATGGTCTTGGAACCCTTGTAGAAATTAATTGGCCATATATGTTTGGACTCACTTTTAGGCTCTCTCTTGTATTGGTCTGCATGTCTGTCCTTTTTCTAGTACCATAATGTTCAAATTACCATAGCTTTGTAGTAAGTGTTAAAACCAGGAAGTGTAAGCCCTCCAATTTTTATTAATCTTTTAAAAGATAAAAGATAAAAGATTATTTTAGCTATTCTTGGTCTTTTGTAATTATATATGTATTTGAGGATCAACTTTTCCATTTTTGCGAAAAGGGCTTTTGGAATTTTGATAGAAATTGCATTGACTCCATAGAGCGCTTCGGGTAGTATTAACAATGTTACGTCTTCCTACGCCTGTCCACAGAATGCCTTTCCATTTATGTAGGTCTTCTTTAATTTCTTTCAGCAACATTGGTTAGATTTATTCCTAAAGATTTAATTCTTTTAGATGCTTTGTAGGTAGAATTGCCATCTTAACTGCCTTTTAAAGTTGCTCATTGCTGTTGTATAGAAACACAACTTGGGCCTCCCCGGTGGTGCAGCGGGTTAGCGCAGAGCTGTGAAGCTGTCCGCAGCCTCTGCAGTGCGGGTTCGATTCTGGGTGATTCCGGCCAGCCAGGAAGCAACCCACATGGCTGGTGATGCAGACCTCTCCAGCTGCTCCCCTCAGCAGTTTACTGCGGTCAATCTATCTGTTCTGTTCCCCACTCTGTCTCTGGTGAATCCTCTCACCCTCCCGCGCCTCTGGCCTGTACCCCAGCTATTGTATAAATAACAAATAAATCTTTAAAAAAAAAAAAAGAAACACACCTGGTAATAGTTCTGTTAAGGAAGATATAGAGGCTCAGAATAAGTTGCTCAAAGTGCTTGTCTAGTATGTCCCAACTCAGGTCTCGAATTCCAGATCTACTGAGCTGCCTCTCCAAGGAGGTAACTTCACTAGACTTTTCTCTATTTTGTCCTTTCCCTTTGACTTGATGTTCTTCTGTGAAAATAAGAAACACTGGAAAAGGAAAGAACTAGAACACTCCTTCAATTATTCTCCAAATTGTGGCCAGTGTGATAACTGAACCATCAGGAAGCAACCATGCTATCTCAAGGATAGCGATGGCTATCCCACAGACTTTCCTGTCTATTCTTTTTGAGTAGAGAGGCCCACAGGCAAATAACAAAGAGGCAACATTGAATGTGTGACCTCAAGATGCCAAAATATTTTATGGGAATGACTCAGAAATCAAGAAATTACTTGTAGCAAATCAAGTACTGTAATACATTGTCAACACAGGACATCTTTGCATGGCCCTGGGAAAGGACTTGTTATGGCACGTAAATGGGGTTAAGATTCTTGAGGAACTGGGGGTGGAAGGTGATTCAGGCTCAGGAAGGAACATTTCACAGCCTGCCAGAAGGCTAGAGACCAGCAACATGTCAAGTTACTCTGTGGAATCTGTAAAGGACAGTAGCAGTCTTGGTATACCCACAGGAAGGAAGAGATGCACTTACTCGAGGACTCTGAATACCAGAAACCACCAGGGAATTCTCTGGTCCCCACTGGACACTTTCCTTCCCCTTCCAAACTTGATATCTGATGGAATTTCTGAATCTCCATTTCCTTCTGTTTCTGGGAAAGTGCAGACACTTGAAATATGGAACCATGGCTATTGTTGCAGCTACCTTGGATGGGAACCCAGTAGCTGTAGATAGCACTATGAGAATTTTCTTTTCTTTTTTTTTTTTAAAGATTTATTTATTTATGCATACAAGAGCTGGGGTACAGGCCAGAGATGCGGGGGCAGGGGGTGAGAGGATCCACCAGAGACAGAGTGGGGAACAGAACAGGCAGACTGACTGAAATACACTGCTGAGGGGAGCAGCAGGCAAGACAGGAAAGGTCTGCTGCGCCATGTGGGTTGCTCCCTGCCTGGCAGGGATTGAACTTGTGTTGCAGAGAATGGGGGTAGCTTCACAGTGCTGTGCTTAGACCCTTGCGCCACCAGGAAGGTCCAAAAGCTACTATATTATAATGATGTCATTGTTCCTCCCAAGAAATCCCAGAAAGGAATAGTAGAATCTTCATACTTGAGGAATTACTAATATTTTAGAGCAGAGAGATAAGGGGTTGTCTGAATACTTGTGTAGGTTCCTCTCTGATACATGGACTACTGAAAAAATTCTGCAAAGCCTTCACAATAATCATAGAAACTAAGTGGAGAAGTTCACAAATATAAGTGAAGGAAACTAGGACCACAGCTCAGAGCATGATGATCTGGTCATCAGTATATGATAGGGGGTAAATTGGGAAACTGATTGGTAAGAAACCTTGAATGTCACACAGAGGAATTAGTTAAATTATATTGGCAATAAGGAAACTGAAAAGTTGAAGTTGTTCTGAAGTTATTGAAGCTGCTTGATCAGCTCGCACGCTCTCTCTCTTTCTCTCTGTCTCTCTGTCTCTCTCTCTCCCTCTCTCCCTCCCTTCCATGGTGCCCCATCAGCTACATAGAAAAGTTGCTCGGGCCTCCCCGGTGACACAGCGGTTGAGCGCTGGGTTGCGAAGCTGCCCACAGCCTCTGCAGCACCGGTTCGATCCCCCGCTGCTCCCCGGCCACCGGAGGAGGGTCCCACATGGCGCGCAGACCTCTCCTGGCGCCCGCTGCTCCCCTCAGCAGTGTACTTCGGTCCTTCTGCCTGCTCTGCTCCCCTCTCTGGCTCTGGTGAATTCTCTCACCCTCCCGTGCTTCTGACTGTACCCAGTGCTTGTATAAACAAACAAACAAACAAACAAATAAATAAATAAAATCTTTAAAAAAAAAAAGAAAAGTTGCTCAGTGCAAATTCACTCCCCTGCCTGGACTCCTGGATATAGGTGTAACTGTTGCAGGTGACACCAAGTGCCAGGAAAGGCCAAATGAGCGCAATGGGGAAGGAGAGCAACGGAAACTTCCTCAGAGCACCCGAGTAGCAAGGACCATGGAAGATGTGTAACAGGGTGGTCCCCAGGAAAGGGGGAGGTTCCAGGTTCCCTGCTCCACCCAAATGGAGGGTGGTGCTGAGCAGGGAGAGAAGAAGCTGCAGAGGAGACTGAGGAAGGAAGGAAGGAAGCAGGATGGAGCCAGAAGGAGACCTGGAGGAGGTGCATGGAGCCTAGAGACACGTGAAGAAACTGCGCTTGCCTTTTGGTTGTGGACTGGGTGACACAGATGTGGGTGAGACCCGTGGGGAGGTGACAATGGCAGCTTTTATCTTGATTTTGATTTTGCTCTTTTCCTTCCGGGCTTGTCTGGTTGTTTCTGACCCTTTTCTGTGGGTCCCCACTGGAGGATGCTTTAGACTTGTGGCAGGCTTTGGGGCCTTGCTCTGGGCCAATCCCATTTGGATGGACTTTTACCCACGAGGGGACGGGTAACTTTGGGTGCTTGATTTAGAAACTAGATTCTTTGCCTTTCCTGTATTGTTTCCAAATTGTATTAAAGTTCCTTCCCATTAAAGTCTCATATGTTTCAAAGCTGAAGAGACATGACCTTGCAATGCAAGAGACAAGAGCAGCCACCACTCAAAGTGTTGACAAATCGTACCTAAGATAAGTGCTACTGTATGAAAATAAAGCAAAATCTAAGATCTTGACAAAAAAAAAAAAAAATAAAGTCTCATATGTTTCGTGTTGATGCGGCGGATGGCAGAACCCTACCTTGAACAGACAGGTTTGCGGGGTTTGGGCTGCCCTTCTCCCTGCCCTATAACAGATGGACTAATTTGATTCCCTTTAGGCAGTCCAGGGCCAATCGTTGGAAACCAATTCAGATATCGCACATTTGTAGCAATAAACACTTGAGGTAGGCAAGTTTGGTTTCCAGACACCTGCTCCCACAGGTAACAGCAGCTGGGGCAGCTGCCTTCAGGGACTCTGAGGTCATCTCTCACACAGGTCCTGGGCTGGAAAGATCTAGCGAAGTAAGAACCCTAAACCCTGGTGCTTCTCCCCGGGGCCCCGGTACAAGATGAAAGATCTAACCCAAAGCAGAAAAGACTGGCGGGTTGGGGCGTCAGGCAGCTGTAGGAGCGCGTCCCCTGATTTTAGGTACACCCTAAGACCCCCACCGCAGAGTGGGGTACACCCTATGGCCCCCGCCGCAAACCTTTAGAGTTCTCTCTGCAGACAACCCAGTCGAGCGATTCTCACACCAATCAACGTGCCGGCTGGATCTGGGTGCCGCTCGGGGCCAAAACGATCTTGTCCCGGGGCGCGCGGGGCGGCTGCAGGCAAGATCACCAGAGCCCCCCCAGCCCCGGCCCCTCGGGGCGCCCCGGACGCCGCCGAAGCTCGCGCTCCTCCTCTCTCGCATCCCCTCCCCTCTTCTTCCCTCCCTCGGCCAGGCCCTCCCCCAGGGGTGGCGGAGAGCGGGGCCGGGCTTGGCTCCGCGAGGCCCTCGCATTCCAGAGAGCCGAGCGAGCTGGAGCAACAAAGGAGCCGGGCAGCCGGCGGGGAGAAGTCGGGGGCTGCGGCGCGCTGGGGCGAAGGTGGCCGCTGGGCCGCGGGCTGGCGCGGGGGCGGAGCCGGGGACCTCGTCCCGCACCCCCGGCCCGCGCCTGGCCACCGTCCGGGACCCCGAGGTGGCTTTAATGGTGGGCGAGGGAATGGGACTGGAGATTGGGGGCCCAGGGGGCTCCCGGGGCTGAAGACAGCTTAGATTGCAGGGCGAGGGGGCGGACAGTTGTGCATCCCGACCCGGGCCTCCGCCTCGCAACATGGGGCCCGGGTTCCAAAGTTTGCGAAGTTGGGCGCCCAGGGCCCGGGACGCGCGGAGCGTCCGGGGGGACCCGGCACCGGACTCGCGGGGCGCACAGGTCGCCTGAGCCGCCTCTGTGGCCCCAAGGGTTGCGCGTGTGGCCTGGGGGCTCCGGGGAGCGGGCGGGGGCGCGGGGGCTTCTGCTGAGTTGGCGGGTTTGGCCATGGCCGCTGCCCGCCTCGCGCCGGGGCTGAGGCTTCAGCTCCTGGGGCTGGGGTTGCTGCTGCTGCTGCTGCTGCTGCTGGGGGCCCGGGCCGGGGGGCGGCCTTGAGCGGGAACGCGACCGGGCCTGGGCCGCGGGGCGCGGGCGGGAGCGCGAGGCGGAGCGCGGCCGGGACCGGCCCTCCGCCGCTGCTGAGCCACTGCGGCCGGGCCGCCCCGTGCGAGCCGCTGCGCTACAACGTGTGCCTGGGCTCGGCGCTGCCCTACGGGGCCACCTCCACGCTGCTGGCCGGGGACTCGGACTCGCAGGAGGAAGCGCACGGCAAGCTCGTCCTCTGGTCGGGTAAGCGCGCGGGAGCTGCAGCCCCGGGTCGGCGGGCGGGCGGGGGAGCCACGGCGGTGGCTTCGGGGAGAGAATGGGTCAGGCCTGAGCTGTGGGGAGGGCGGGAGCCGCACCTGGGAGAGCTGGAGGCGCAGTCTGAAACTTTGGGGGCAGCTGTGCTGCATGGGACCCTCGGTGGTTAGGGGCAGCGGGAGAGGATGCTGAGCCGGCGGGCGCGAGAGATCTGAGCTGGGAGGGTGAGCAAAGGCTGCAGGGGACTTGGGGGTACGGGGAAAGGCATTTTAAAAGAAAAGAAGATGCTCCTCCTAAGGGCTACTCTGGAAGCAGCATCCTTAGGGTTCACGGAGGTGCTTAGGTCTTGGCGCGCGGAGTCCGTGACACCGGGTTGGAGAGGAAAATGGGGGTAGATTTATGCATGGAGGGAGCGGGTGTGGGGAAAGAATTGGAGTGAAATTTATAAAGGAAAGGAACCCCTATACCCCGGGGATGAGTAATTCAAAGGTAACCAGAAAATGCCGGAAATCTTGTTTTGGGAGACAGGAAGTTTAGAGATTGCAGTTTCCTCATCTGAAAAATGGGGGCTCGAATCCTCATCGGAGATTGTGAAGAAATGACATTTTTCTAATAATTATTTGTGTGTTCTTTGGAAGTTTGGATCTCAAGGCAGCTCAGGGCTGTGGAAGGACGCTTAATGCTGTGTTGTTGGATACTTCAGGGTCCTCTGAAGGCCCAGGGCCCTCTGCTCGCGGTGAGCGTATGGCCGGGCCTGAAAGGCTGCAAACACCCCCTTCCTTACCAGTGGAAAATAGATTATCACCCCACCTGTCACTTTTCTGGGCTGGGGTCCCAGAAGGGGACTAGGAAAGGGAACTGGCCTTGTCACCCCTTGCTGCAGGAGGCTGGAAGCTGGCCCCCAGGATGGAATTACATCGTTTGCATGTTACCAGCTTCTAAAGTCAGGACGTGCCAGCAGAAACCGTGTAACCAACATCAGCTTTGAAGCATCCATAAATTATCATAACATAAGGTCTATATGATTTTTGCAGATATGTTCTTTCATGGTAGTATGTTTATATAAATGTGTAACAGTAAAATACAATATCTAAGAAGGTGTACATAAAAGATATAATTTTAGTCTTTGAAGTTACATAAATGCCAAAGAGCAGAAGACTGAAAGAAGAAACACGTAAGCAAGGTTTCTTTGAGGACTATCTGAAATAAAGCTTGAATTTAAGGAGTCAGCTGTATGAAATATCCAAATCTCTCCATACCAGAATCTCACCTGGTCTGAATTGCTCACACGCTGGAAGCATAGTCTATTTTGTGGGGTGAATGCATGTGTACTGCTGCCCTTCTGTAGTTACCATCAAGTCTCGGAAGAAGGATAGAAGCTCTTTCTAGCCCATACGCCTGAGAGCAGCCGCTGAACAGAGAGAAGCAGTTTACAGGAAAGGGTAGGGGTTACAACCATCTGCTGAGTACAGGTTTGAGCTTCATTGTCTGTGCCGCTGATGGGGCAGCATCCTGCAAAAGTGCCCATTTTCCCTCAGTTCAGTCCTATTTCCATGCATTTTGCTCTTCTTTCTGCTTTGGGTCTTTCTGCTGGTTGTTCTATGAAGTAGGCCCAGAAGCGCTGGTGTAAACCGGACCAGTGGGTGGGTGGAGTGAACCCAATAATAGACCTTTAGCTGAGAACCTTGGACTAGTGATTTGTCCTAGTCTGAATTGGTAGTCTTGTTTTGCCATTACACATACATGGTCAGTGTCAGTTGAGTCCTAGGAATGTGTTTGTAGGTGCAGGATAAAGGTGATATCTAGGTTGTCTTCATCTGTAAACTTCTGAAGGTAGAGATTTATTCTTCACTATTTAAAAAAACCTCAGAATTCTGAGTTCACAGCTGTCCACTCACTTACTTAAAAAGATATTGGATGCGGGCCTCCCTGGTGGCGCAGTGGGTTGAGTACCTCCCTGTGACGCTGTCGGCAGCCTCTGCAGCACAGGCTCAATTCCCGGCTGACCAGGGAAATACTCATATAGCACAGCAGACCTCTCCTGCCTTGCCCGCTGCTCCCCTCAGCAGTGTCTTCGGTCCATATGCCTGTTCTGCTTCCTGCTCTGACTCTGGTGAATTCTCTTAAAAATGTATATATTGGATGCTTGCTACATGTCACATCCTTGATCATGTTCAGGAACATATAAAGGTAAAGAATACAGACATAGAGCCTCCCTGGCAGCGCAGGGGTTAAAGTCTCAGCACTATGAAGCTATCAGCAGCCACTGAAGCATGAGTTCCATCCCCAGCCAGGAAGCTACCCACACAGTGCAGCAGACCTCTCCTGTCTCGCCCACTGCTCCCTTCAGCAGTGTATTTCAGTCAGTCTGCCTGTTCTATTCCCCACTCTGTCTCTGGTGAATCCTCTCACCCCACCACACCTCTGGTCTGTACCCCAGTTCTTGTGTGCATAAATAAATAAATCTTAAAAAAAAAAGTAAATGGATCTCACAGAGTGTCAGTGTAGTACCAAGAGGTCTTGCTGATGAGTTGGATGGAGGGCATGAGCCAGAGGAGGACGTAGGCCTCAAGGTTGGATGGAGGTGGGATCATTCCCTTTCACTAGACAGAGAATGCTAGAGTAGGTTTAGGAAGAGAGTATGTGTTCAGTTTTGGCCATGTGAGAGGTGCTGATTGGACAAAGAGGAATTGCTGAAGAAAGATGGCTGCTATGTGCTTTCTTAGCCCAGATTGCTGAGGCTTTGGAGCATACCATTGAGTAAGGAAGTTTCTAGGTCAGGTACAACCAAATTCCAGGGTTGTATAGAACTCAGGTCTCTGCTGTATCTTTCAACTCCCTGAAATTGGGCTTCTTCAGGCACTCAGCATCTTTCCCTGTTATTGCTTGAAATATCTCCTCTCAGGCATTCCAGGCTGACCAGACAAACATAATATCCAGGGCATGGTCCATGTTCAGCCAAATCTGGTTTGGTAAATAGAGCAAGAGAGCCAAGAGGCTGCGACTAGTGAGGGATATGTGTCCCTGAGAGTCAGCACGTAGCCTCTTTGATCGCTTCTGTGCCCTGGGTATGAACCAGGGAGTGTGGCCTTGTCACCTGGCTGGGGGCAGCCGTAGGAAGAACCAGAGGGCTGGGAAGGATTTCTCATATTCTTATGAGCCATCCAACTGAGAGATAAGGGGAGGGATGTTGTTGGTGATGATGATGGGTTTATTTGCAGGTGTGGTCAGGAAGAAACTCCAAACTTGGCCAATGACAGGAACCAGTTAAAAAATATATTTTGGGGGCCTCCCCAGTGGCGCAGCAGTTGTGTGCTGGGTTGCGGAGCTACCCACAACCTCCAAAGCACCGGTTCAATCCCCGGCCGCCGGGTGAGGGTCCCACATGGCGTTCTGTTCCCCTCTCTGGCTCTGGTGAATTCTCTCACCCTCCATGTTCTGTTCCCCTCTCTGGCTCTGGTGAATTCTCTCACCCTCCATGTTTCTGACTGTACCCAGTGCTTGTATAAATAAATGAATAAATCTTTAAAAAATATATATATATATTTTGGGAAAATAGAAAAATAGAAAAAAGCACCTACAGGCCTAAGGTTTTATTTTTGCTTCAGATTTTTTACTTTTTAATTGTGAAATATAGCATATACAGAATGTACATAAAACACAGAGCTACTAAGTAATCAATAATTATGAAGTGACCCCGAGTCAAGAACTAGGCTGTGGTTGGCCTACAGAAACACTTGCTTTGTCTTTCCCAATCACACTCCCTTCTCTCCCCCTCTTGGATGGGCTGTTACCCTGATATGTGGTTAACATTTCCTTTTTCCTGTGTAGTGTTGCTATCTAGGTTGACACCTCTAGGCAATATATTTCAGCTTTTAATGTTTTTGAACTTTCGACATATATCAATCATGTATTATTTGATATGTATGTATTATTTTATGTCTTGCTTCTTTTGCTTTACGTTCTTTTGTAAGCTTCATCCATATTATTGTAGCTTTTTTTTTCTTTGTTGAGTAGTATTCCATTATATGAATGGATCACATTTTATTTATCCAAGCTGTGTTGTTAAACATTTAAGTTGTCTCCAGCTTGGAGGCCATTGTGAGTAATATGGCTGTAAGTAGTCTTTTCTCTGTATCCTGCTATATATACTTGGGTCAAGTTTCTCTAGATACGTACTCAGAGGACTGGAATTGCTAGATAAGAGGACATGCATATCTTCAGCTTACTAGAAAACATTGTGATATATATTTAAAGATTTATTTATTTATGCATACAAGTATTGGGTACAGACCAGAGGTGCTGGGGGTGAGAAGATTCACCAGAGACAGAGTAGGGAGCAGAACAGGCTGTTGGAAATACACTGCTGAGGGAAGCAGTGGGTGGGAGAGACAGGCGAGGTCTGCTGTGCCATGTGGGTCACCTCCCTGGCCGGGGATTGAACTTGCTCTGCACTAGCTATGGATTGCTTCAGAGTGCTGACGCTTAATCCCTTGCATCACCAGGGAGGCCCTGTGCTATGTATTTAGATACTGCCAAATAGACACCACAAGTGTTTACTAACGTTTATTCTTACCAAAAACATATAAAAGTGCCAGTGTTCCCATCCTGCCCCCTCCCCCAACACACACACTCTTGCTCATAAAGTATTTTCAAATGTTTTGGTCTTTTGTCACTCTCAGAGTAAAATACATATATATATATATGTGTCTTGTAGTTTTATTTCACATTTATTTTATTAAGAGATTGAGCATGTCTTTGTGCTTAAAGACCATTTGTACTTGTGTGATCTGTTTGCCTTTTGCCATTTTTCTATAGGATTGTAAATTCCTTATTGATTGTACGCATATAAGGAAATTAGCTCTTTCCTGTGATAAGTATTAGTATTAGAAATAAATTTTCTCAGTGTGTTCTTTTTCTTATGATTTTATTTGTTACCCTACTAAATTTATCTTAAGTATCTTTTTAAAATTTTTTATTTCATGGCTTGTAGGTCTTGTGTCATACCTCAAAAAGCTTTCTCCTCCCCAGGACTTAAAAAAAAATTCTTTTTTTTTCTTCTAGGACTTTAATTTTTTTTAATTATGTAGTTTTTTTTTTTTTGATTCATCTAGAATTAATTTTTTTAAAGATTTATTTATTTATTTATACAAGCACTGGGTACAGTCAGAAGCATGGGAGGGTGAGAGAATTCACCAGAGCGGGGAGCAGAGCAGGCAGAGGGACCGAAGTACACTGCTGAGGGGACCAGCTAGCCTCAGGGGAGGTCTGCGCGCCAAGTGGGACCCTCCTCCGGTGGCCGGGGAGCAGCCAGGGATTGAACCGGTGCTGCAAAGGCTGCGGGCAGCTTCGCAACCCAGCGCTCAACCGCTGCGCCACCAGAGAGGCCCCATCTAGAATTATTTTTATGAAAGAAATGGGGTAAGGATCCAAATTATTTTTTCACTGAATGGCTCCTCAATTGTCACTTAAGATGTATTTAATAACCTATTTTTTTTCTTGGAGAGTTTATTTTTAAAGTACAAAACAATATTTAAAATAAGAAAAAAAGAAAAACAACAAATTACACATTTTTGAAAGCTGATAATTACCACAAATACCACAAAAATCCAGAAAAATTACCCAATAACTTTAAGTGTAAATTTTTATTTATTTATGTACTTACTTATTTTCCATAATCTTGAACTTTAGGTCTCCAGAGGCAAATACATTCATTCAGTAAATATTTACGGATTGCCTGTGTGATTTACCAGGCATTAGTGGAAAAATGAGAATATAAAGAGGACAGTTATATTCTTTACTTTCAAGACATATACAGCTGAATTGGAGACATACATGCACACAAATAAATTTTACTGCTCTATAACAACAATTATATAAACCTGTTAAAACAATCTGTAAACAAAAGCTTATTTTCTCTATTTCTTAACTCACTTTTAGTGCCATTCATTATGTTACTTGGTTCAGATTTACAACTGAACAGCATGTAGTGTGATAACCACAGTATATTTATTAATAAACTGCCTGCTGCTCCTCTAGAACACATTTCACTCTAGGGACACTCCCCTCCCCCATTTAAAATTTATTGTTTAATAAACAGCTAGTAAAATTCACATTTTTGTTGTACAGTTCTATGAGTTTAAAGAAATGCAGAATTGTATCACCAGCCTCTACATTCAGAATAGAGAACAACCCTATCACCCCCTTTATTGACATACCCTTCTTCTACAACTCCTGCAACTGTTGGCAGGCAGACTGAGGACCCGGGACCCCAAAACTTGTACCCTCTAAATGGTTTCTGCATTCACTGCATCAAGACCAAGCATAATTAGCACATAAGACCTTCAATAGAAAAGAACTTTAATAGAATTAGTATTCATAGAAAGAGAAGAGGAAATGATAGTTTCCCAATGAAACACCCAGTTACCCATCCCCTCGAGGGTATTTGGATTGGCCCAAAGCAGGGCTGCTAAGGTCTGAAAACTTGCCACCAGTCTAAGGTAACTTCTAGTGGGGAGCCAAAGAAAAAGAGGCAAAAAACAGCCAGGCAGGTCTGGAAGGAAAGGAGCAAAATCAAAGTAAAATCAAGGTAACAGCTGGGCCTCCCTGGTGGCGCAAGGGGTTAAGTCTCAGCACTATGAAGCTATCAGCAGCCACTGCAGCATGAGTTCGATCCCCAGCCAGTGAGGTGACCCACATGGCACAGCAGACCTCTCCTGTCTCACCCACTGCTCCCTCAGCAGTGTATTTCAGTAGATCCACCTGTTCTGCTCCCTACTCTGTCTCTGGTGAATCCTCTCATCCCTGCACCTCAGGTCTATACCCCAGCTCTCATAGGCATAAATAAATATATATATATATATTTAAAGTAATAGCTGTGATTATCAACCTCCCCATGGTCTCTCATCCACATCTCTACCAAGTGTGTCCTCCATGTCCCATATCCCATGCCCCCCAAGTCCCTGGTGCAAGTCCAAACCAGAGATGCTAATGCTGTTTCTTCACATGCCTCTCTGCTGTATGTGCCTCCTCCAAGTCTTCCGGATGTTCTCTGCAAGCCCCTTTTTAGCTTCCCCTCACTGCTCAGCTCCACCCCTCATTAGGTGGGGCAGGGAACATGGGGCCTCCCCTTTCCGTGGAGATCACACTGTTGCACCACCCCTGCTCTGTTCTCTACCCAGAACCGGAGAGTGGATCCTCTACCCAGAATGATAAAGGTCCCCAGTGATTCTGATTTGGGTCAGGTCTGGAAACAGTGGCCTGAGGATATTGCTTCTTAAATGACAGGAACTTGCTCTGGGCACTTGGAATACTCTTTGTCTTGAGTGGTCAGAGGTCTAGTTTAGTTACTGTTTCCTGAGTTTACTATATTATGGGTACCATGCTATGCACTATAAAGAATTTACCCCCCCACCCCCACTGCCAGCCAATTGTGGGGGGGTCTCCTATTTTTATTCTTATATCTTCAGAAGCTTCCAATACAACTTCCTGCTTGGGATCCATGTTCCTGCAGCAGGGACAATTCAGGAGGGGTAAGGGGAGAGGTGTGCTGGGGTTGGGAGACCACCTCTTTCTCATACTAACAACACCTTTCCTCCCTCTGCACTGGACAGAGCCTCCTCTGTTTCTCTCCATCTGATTTCCTGTTTCCTCCTCTGGCTTTGGACTACCTGGCTCCCTGATTACCTCTTCTTAAGCCTCTCCTTTCCTCTCTCACCTCCACTTGGTAAGAAGAACAGGGTCCTGGGTCTGGGAGGGGGAACATCTGGTTCTGGTGCATGGCCCTGTCAGGGTTGGTCCCACAAACCTTCCCCCAGAAGAGGGCTACAGAAGATTTGGAAAGTTCAGCTGAAAAGGTAGAAAGTAAATCAACCTGGGCTTCTTAGCCAGAGGTGCTAAGACTCCCTATCAGGGCATTTGGAAATGGGAGCCATTTTTTACAAACTTGATTGAGTTGTAAAATACACACAGACAAGTGCTCAGATCCTAAACTTGATTTTCACACGATGCATACACCCATGTGCCCAGGCTCAGATCACAAGCCATCACCAACAGCCCAGAAGCCACTTCCCTGGAGTGGGGTGGGGCAGAGCATTTTATGTGTCTCAACGACTGAGGGGTTCTGTTGGCATTTAGTGGCAGGGAGTAGGGAGGAACCCCTGCATTGCATGGGAGAGTCCTGCAGCCCAGACTCATCCTGCCCAGATAACCCGTGCAGAGGAGATGCCCGGGGCCTGGGGAGCAGAAGGGACCAGGGGAGCAGTGTGTGCGTGTGAGGTTGGGGGGTGCAGTGTGTCTGCAGGCCAGAGAGATGCAGAGTCACTGTGAAGTGTCCACAATGGTCTCCACTCCCCAGGTCTCCGGAATGCCCCCCGCTGCTGGGCAGTGATCCAGCCTCTGCTGTGTGCCGTGTACATGCCCAAGTGTGAGAACGACAGGGTGGAGCTGCCCAGCCGCACCCTCTGCCAGGCCACCCGCGGCCCATGTGCCATCGTGGAGAGGGAGCGGGGCTGGCCCGACTTCCTGCGCTGCACCCCTGACCACTTCCCCGAGGGCTGTCCGGTGAGTGCTCTCTGGGGCCAGTGTTCTCAGGGCTGAGCAGGACCAGGCATGGGGCAGGGCCCAGCAGGAGGCTGGGGCATAGCAGCCAAGCGCCTTCCCTCCTGGGAAACCCGGAGTCTGTGCCATGTCGTCATCAGGCCACAAACCCAAACGGAAGCTTGCTGGCTGGGCTAGTCTACCAGGGACTATCTGCTTATCCATAAAAATTACTTGTGTTCAACAAGTATATTTCGAGCTTCGGCTGATAGGTGTTGGGGAGTTACAGGAACCATGGATGACAGCAACCTCCTCAGGAAGTGTATCCTGTATTTAGGGAGTCAAGGCCCGAGACACCAACAGAGATGTGATCTGACTGGTTGGGGAAGGACAGCTTAAACAAATGATAATAATAACAATGGCAGTAATAATGGTGATAGTCGTGCTATTATTGTTATCTGCTTTCTTCCAAGTACTATTATTAGTATTTTAAATCTATTTACATTTAGCCCTTAAGCCACACCATGAAGTATAAGGTCTGCTATCTCATAGATGGGGAAACTGAGGTCACAGGTCAAATCATTTGCCCAAGACCACACGTAGTCACTGAGCCACCAGGCTGGGCTCCAGTCCAGGAGGTGGTATCCAGCACCTGGGCCCTCAGCCACTCTGGCCAGCTAGTCCTGCACCTCTCACAGACCAAAGGTTGCCTGTCTGCCTGCTTCCCCTTCCTGTACTAACAACTCCCTTTCCCTTGTACCAGAATGAGGTGCAGAACATCAAGTTCAACAGCTCAGGCCAGTGTGAGGCCCCCTTGGTTCGGACCGACAACCCCAAGAGTTGGTACGAGGACGTGGAGGGCTGTGGGATCCAGTGCCAGAACCCACTCTTCACCGAGGCCGAGCACCGGGACATGCACAGCTACATTGCCGCCTTCGGCGCTGTCACGGGCCTCTGCACGCTCTTCACCCTGGTCAGCGGAGGGCAGGCCCTTGGGTGAAGGAGGCGGGGGAGAGAAAGGGGTCGGGACACTCAGCCTGAAAAGTGGGAAGGGAGCCAGGGTGGGCGGAGGTGGACCTAGTGGGAGACCCCGGGAAGGGTCAGATGAGAGAGGCCAGGGCCCCTGCAGCGGCGGAATTACGTGAACCTCACAGAATGGTCCCACTTCTCTCTTCTAGGCCACGTTTGTGGCTGACTGGCGGAATTCAAATCGCTACCCTGCCGTCATTCTCTTCTACGTCAATGCGTGTTTCTTTGTGGGCAGCATCGGCTGGCTCGCCCAGTTCATGGACGGCGCCCGCCGGGAGATCGTCTGCCGTGCAGATGGCACCATGAGGCTTGGGGAGCCCACGTAGGTGTCTTGGGGACTCAGAGTTGAGGGTGAGGGGAGGAAGGCTGAAGCATGTGTTTAGCAGAAAAGGGACAGGTTGGACCTGAAAACCAGAGAGCCCAGAATGACCTCAAGTGACACACCTCATGTGTCTGCACAGCTCCAACGAGACACTGTCCTGTGTCATCATCTTTGTCATCGTGTACTACGCCCTGATGGCTGGTGTTGTCTGGTTCGTGGTCCTCACCTATGCCTGGCACACCTCCTTCAAGGCCCTGGGCACCACCTACCAGCCTCTCTCGGGCAAGACCTCCTACTTCCACCTGCTTACATGGTCGCTCCCCTTTGTCCTCACTGTGGCAATCCTCGCTGTGGCTCAGGTATGGTGATGCCGGGGGCATGGGGACCTGAGTGGGATGCGTGGGTGAGTAGGACAGTAACCATCTCCGTCCCTCCCGCCCCTTCCTGCTGCAGGTGGATGGGGACTCTGTGAGCGGCATATGTTTTGTGGGCTACAAGAACCACCGGTACCGGGCCGGATTTGTACTGGCCCCAATTGGCCTGGTGCTCATCGTGGGAGGTTACTTCCTCATCCGAGGTGAGTGAAGACCAGGCCAGGTCCAGGGGGCAGCAAAATGTGCTGAGAACCTGCTCTGTGTGAGCACAAGGAGCTGCCAGCTCTGCTCCCTTCATGGTGGGACCTCAGTGGACCCCATAGGAACTTGGTGCAAAATAGAAGGTGCCCCATCTAGGCAGACACAGTACCTTGGGCACTTAGTGTGAGATAGCATCTTTGTGCCAGCCAGAAAAATGCACTCCTTTCCCCAGAGTCTTGTGCAGAGGCTCACAGTTTAAGTGGAGCTTGGGCTGGGTTTCAGCCCCTGCTCAGCCGTGGCCCAAGTGCACGGTCCTCACTCACCAGTGTGGGACACATGTGAGCACCCTGGATTTCCATATACTCTCAATCTCTCGGAGCTTTGTTTCTCATCTCCCTCCTGCCCACAACACACACACAACTGTCCCAGCACATACAGATTCTCTGTTCCCTAACTTCCCTGCCTCAATCTGCCACCATAACCTGCGCCCGTTTGTTAGCTCGTTTTTGTTGAGTTTTCTTTGTAAGCATCAGGTTCCTCGCCCTGTACTGTCAACCTTCCATTCAGCCCACCTCTTTCCCCTCTTTTTGGCCATGTCTGGATCCCTGATTTATGTGTCATATCTGTGCTGGCCTGTGCAGTAGCCACTGGCCACACATGTGGCACTGATCCAAATGGAGATGTGTCACCTGTGTAGAATACACATCACTTTTCAAAGACAGCATGAAAGTTAGATCTCTCCTTACTAGTTTGTTCCATGGATCCCATGTTGAAATGATAATGTTTGCGAGAGATCAGCTTTATAAAAGTATATTGAAATTAACTTGAGTCATTTTACTTTTTGAATGTGACACTAGAAAATTTGAGATTATGTGTGTGACTCACGTTGCATTTCTGTGGGATGGCACTGTTCTCCAGTTTCTCTTTATGCCTTTTCCAGCAGAACAGCTTCGACCTGGCTGCCTGACTTAGGTAGGGGTAGCTCAGCCAGGACTGAGACACCTTCCCCTACTCCCTACTGTCTGCCTGTACTCTTTCCCAGTTTTTGCAACCCCTGGGTGACCTGCCACCAGCTGCATTCTATTTCTCCAGTTCTCCAAGCTCTAAATCAGCACAGGCGTGATCAGACCTGAGCCTGCAGGACCAGGGGAGCCCCCACCACTCCTGCCAGAAATAGCCTCACCCCACTCATGTCTGAGTCTCCCTTGTGTTCAGGAGTCATGACCCTGTTCTCCATCAAGAGCAACCACCCTGGGCTGCTGAGTGAGAAGGCTGCCAGCAAGATCAACGAGACCATGCTGCGTCTGGGTGAGGGGCCCCAGGGACTTGGCCTGAGCTGCTGCCAGCCCAACACTATGCCCTCCTGGAAAAGGGTCTTGAGATGCAGTAAACGAGTGGGATAAGTTAACATCCATGGGACACGATAAGGCTGAGAGAGAGACAGAGCGAGACTGGTGGGGGAGGGGGGGTGGTAGTTCAAAGAAGGGGGCTGCTCAGATGGAAGAGCACAGTCCCTGCCTCACATGCATTGGCACGCGCAGTTCCCTCCCACTCGGGTCCTTTCAGGCCATGTGAGGCAAACACCCTCTCCCACCACTGCTATCCCCTTTGGGCTTGGTAACGCCCCACCCTCTTCCTTCCATAGGCATTTTCGGCTTCCTGGCCTTTGGCTTCGTGCTCATCACCTTCAGCTGCCACTTCTATGATTTCTTCAACCAGGCTGAGTGGGAGCGCAGCTTCCGGGACTACGTGCTGTGAGTAGGTGGTCAGAGCTTGGGGGGGCAACTGGGCGGTGAGAACTGGGGCCCGGACCACAGGCCCACAGGGCCAACCCTTCTCTGCTACCCAGCAGGGCTCTGTCGGAAACTGCCCATCTTTCTCCCGGGTACCCAAGACAACAGTTATTCTGTAACTTGCAAACATGGCAAATAGCCCTCCAGTCCCTGCTCAACTCTGTTCTTCCCTCTGCACCCCCAGGCTGCCTGGCTGATGTGTTTTTAACTGTTAGGAAGCCCTGAGTTGGGGGGTGGCTTCTCCAACCGGCTCTGTTTTGCCTGTGGAAGTTGCTTCTCTACTTCTCATGGCCTCTGTTAGAGTTTCTTGTATACCCCTATAGGGAAGTAATCACTTCTCTGTATGGGTTGTTACATACTCTGTATGGACTGCATGCTAGTTGTGCCTCGGCGGTTTTGTTTGAGTGAGGATTAATATGAGAGAAGGAGGTATCACAACTGCTGAAAGATGGGTAGCACCTCCCACTACCAGGAGTTGCCATTAAAATGGAATGACAGTGGACACGTGTCCACATCCTGATTGCTTCCTCCTTTTTTTTTTAAAGATTTGTTTTATTTATTTATGCATACAAGAGCTGGGGAATAGGCCAGAGGTGCAGGGTGTGAGAGGATTCACCAGAGACAGAGTGGGAGCAGAACAGGCAGATTGACTGAAGTACACTGCTGAGGGGAGCAGCGGGCAAGTCAGGAGAGGTCTGCTGTGCCATGTGGGTTTCTCCCTGGCCAGGGATCGAACTTGGGCTGCAGTTGCTGTGGATTGCTTCATAGGTTGCGTCTTAACCCCTTGCGCCACCAAGGAGGCCTCCTCTTAAAGGAGCTTTTAGTGTGGGGAGCGTTAAACTATGCTGGGGTCCCACCCCCAGGGATTTGCTTTAATTGTATGGGTGGGGCCCAGACATCAGTAGTTATTAAAAGCTCCCCAGGTGACTCTAATGAATACCCAGGGCTGTGAATCAGTCCTTTGGGGTTTAGCTCTTTCTAGAGTCTTTGGAGTGGCTGGTTGTCTGGGTACCCACTCAGGAGACCCAGAAGGTCTCATCCATCTACTGCTTCTCACCACAGGTGCCAGGCCAATGTGACTATCGGGTTGTCCACCAAGAAGCCCATCCCTGACTGTGAGATCAAGAATCGCCCTAGCCTCCTGGTGGAGAAGATCAACCTGTTTGCCATGTTTGGAACCGGCATTGCCATGAGCACCTGGGTCTGGACCAAGGCCACGCTGCTCATCTGGAGGCGCACCTGGTGCAGGTGGGGTTAGCAGCCAGCCTGTTCGGATCCTTGCCTGGCTCTCTGTCTCTGCACCCTGTATTTAGGCTCCGTGTGCTCCCACTGCCCCCAGTGCAAGGAAACCTTGGGCGTATGTGTTTTCTAAGGGTCTGCACTGAGTTGCCTAGAGCCTCCTTCTCGGTGACTCACCACTGCCCCCTAGTGATAGCTCTTGTCCTCGGGAGGCCTTGCTAAGCTTCAGCTGGGATCTTCTAACGGTGGAATGGAATGAGAACTGCGCACGCAGAAACCTTGTATTCTAGGCCCAAGTCTTTGCAAAAAGTCGTTCCTCCTCATCCCTGGGGGGACTTGAAGCCTCCTGGAAGCTCCTTCCCTAGAGGGAATGGATTTGTGGGTCTTTCCCAATATGCAATGGGAAGCCGCTTCTCCACCATTTCCACTCCCCCATCCTTTCTGCCCTCAGGTTGACAGGACAGAGTGACGATGAACCCAAACGGATCAAGAAGAGCAAGATGATTGCCAAGGCCTTCTCCAAGCGGCGGGAGCTGCTGCAAAACCCAGGCCAAGAACTCTCCTTCAGCATGCACACCGTCTCCCACGATGGACCTGTGGGTGAGCTTCAGCCCCTTTCCTCCAACAAGGCCACTTACCACCCCCAGTGCCCAGGGCGTGGACATGAGGGCTGTCTGGAAGGCATGAGGAATAAGGCACTCCCTCCACTCTTCACATGCTCATACCTCTCCCATCTTCCTCCGCCCCGGTCAACTCTCCCATTTCTATCCCAGGTTTCCATGGTTTGCTTTGGTTCCAAAGGGACTCATCTCCCTCCTTCTTCTCTTGTCTTGTCCAGTTGCTCTCCCTGGGCTAGAGTAAGACAGGATTCCAGGCCTAGCTCCTCAGATGGGGAACAGGGAGAGAGCACTGTGGTTACTAGGGTGTGTTTTCTGTGTTAGACCAAGTGGGAGAGACTGGCTGGGGAAAGTAAATGGTGCTGAATAAGGGAGGACTGGCACCAGGCACTCATGAGTACTTATCCTTTCATCCCCACAGCGGGTTTGGCCTTTGACCTCAATGAGCCCTCAGTGGATGTGTCCTCTGCCTGGGCCCAGCATGTCACCAAGATGGTGGCTCGGAGAGGAGCCATACTGCCCCAGGATGTGTCTGTCACCCCTGTGGCAACTCCAGGTATGGGGTTCAGGCTTCTGTAGGATGGTGGGGGGGGTCTAGAGACCTGGGGTCTCTAGGACTGGAGAATGAGGGGCCGCCTAAGGTAGGAAAGAGACAAGATTCTAGAGGGTCTGAAATGTGAGGCTGAGGGACTAGAAGTTGAGTCAGGGGTCCCAGAGCCAGAACAGTAGTCTTCATGGAGAGAAGGGGTGATGTGGAAAAAGCCAGGGTGTTGGGCTCATGTGGTCTCTCCCTCTGTCAGTGCCTCCAGAGGAAAAAGCCAACCTATGGCTGGTTGAGGCAGAGATCTCCCCAGAGCTGGAGAAGCGCCTGGGCCGGAAGAAGAAGCGGAGGAAGAGGAAGAAGGAGGTGTGCCCACTGGGGCCACCCCCTGAGCTTCAGCACCCTGCCCCAGCCCCCAGCGCCGTTCCTCATCTGCCTCAGCTGCCCAGGCAGAAGTGCCTGGTGGCCACAGGTGCCTGGGGCACTGGGGAACCCTGCCGACAGGGAGCCTGGACGCTGGTCTCCAACCCCTTCTGTCCAGATCTCAGTCCCCTTCAGGATCCGTTTTTGTCCAGTGGCCCTACCCCCACGGCCTGGGCTCAGGGCCGCCGGCAGGGGCGGGGGCCCATTCACTCCCGCACCAACCTGATGGAGGCAGAGCTCATGGATGCGGACTCAGACTTCTGAGTCAGGAGAGCAAGACCTGAAACAGGAAAGGGAAATAAAACCCATCCAAGATGCTTCTTCCTCCCTCAGAGTTCCTCCCAGGATCTCCTCTTCCAGGGCACCTGTGGGCCCAGTGCCCTCCCTGGAGAGTTCTAGATGTCTGGCTCACAGCAGCAGGACTGTGGGAAGAGCCCTGACATCTGCACGGGTAGGCCTCACCCAGGGGCAGGGCCCTGGAGCTCAGGTCCTTGTTGGTGCCCTGCTGGCTAGCAGCATCTGTCTCCCCCTGGGTTAGAGCTTGTGGTGGGTCAGTAATGGCAAAGGCAGGAAAGACAGTGCCCAGAATGGGCTGTGGTAGCCAGGGAGACAATGAAGCCCATGTCTGTCAGATGAGGGCTGGTTGCCCTTTTCTGTGCCAATGGGTGCCCTTTCCTGGCAGTCTCAGACCAAAAGTGTTTATTGTGTCATTAGCCCTTTGTCTAAATGGGGACAGGACTCCCTCTATCCTCTTCCAGGCAGTTGTGGGGCTGGGAGTGCCTGCTCCCATCGGGGTTCCAGCCTCTCTTCACAGGCGTCCAGCTGGTCCTGCCTCAGACCAGTCACCCTCCTGTGTTCTGCTCCTCCCTCCCTCCCTCCCCCTTTACAGCCCTCCTAGGCCAACCTCTTCCTGTTTCCTGTTTGTTGATTAATACCCAGAACTGTTGACTTCTCCACCTTGTCCCATTCACCTCCACCGTTTTGCTGCTTGGCTCCATCTCCAGATGAGGGACTGATTCAGCCATCGAGCCTGGTGTGGTTTAGAAGCAGTGACTGACGGGGAGCCTCAGGGCCTCCAAGAGACATTTGTTATCTCTTCCACATATCCATCCAGTGGGGGATGGATATCCCTGACATAAGGAGCTACTCTGGGAAGCTGCTGGAGCTTCATCAGGCAGGAAAGCTTCCTTCAACTTCCACAACCAACAGGCAAGGAGATTCCCACCTCATAACCCCCAAACATGTCCCCAAGGCCCCAATTTCGAGAACCAGACAGCAGGAAGCCTTAGGAGCTGGCTGGATTCCAGATAGGAGGATAGAGATGGGAAGAAGAAATATAAACAGTAAATAAAAGGTTTTTGTATAAACTCTTGGTGTAATTCTTTCCTTAGGCTCTGATCTTGACTTAGCTGAATACCTGATCCTGATCTCATTTTCCTTCCACTTCCTCTAAGGCTAGTTGGAGGGCCAAGAGCGTGGTGCTAATGAGGTCACAACTGACAGATGTCTGCTGATGTCAACCTAATGTGCTGGCCATCTTTCTTGGCCAGTTGGCTCTGTATAGACAAAAGCTCTTCTGTGGCCACAGCTGCCTCACTGCACACCGATCGTAAGATGATTGAGCAAGACCAGGCGGCTTGCCCCCAGGGTGATGATTGGAAGCAAGTGTGTCCCCCTGCTAGTGGAGATGGTCATGATCTGGGTGGCAATCCTGGGCGCCACCTCTGGGGGCCTCTCGCCTTCTGCAAGAGATGTCAGGGAGACCAGATTTATTGTGAGCCACAGCTTCCTTCCCAGACTAGTCAAAGGAATTCAGACTTCCCCAGGGGAAGCCTGCTCACCCCACTTTATGTTAGCAGGAGCCTGGGGACTATGTTGCAAGGACTCAGGTGCACATGGAAAGGAGATGCACGGAAGACCAGGGGTGATACCCACAGCCTTAGAGGATATTGTGGAATATTGACCAGGTTTGATTGCGGGAGTGTGTGATGGGGAACACAGCATTTTGCCCAGAGCCATATTCCAAGGGGAGGGGAAATGGAACTTAAACAGCATATTCTAGGTAATTCACACAGGTATTATACTGACAGCAAACTCTTATTGAGTGTGTGCTAGGCTCTCTTCTAAGCACTTCATGTGCATTAACTGGTTGAATCTCACAACAGACCTATGAGGCACCATTAACACCCCCAAGATAGTGAGGTACAGAGAGGTTTAAAAGTTTGTCCAAAGCCACGCAGATGAGTGGTGATCTGGGGTTCCATCAGGGGCCTCTGGCTCCAGAGTCTTGCCCACTGGTCTACTGCCTTTTGTTTAATTCAGAGGGATCAGAGGAGCTAGTTTTACATAGAACAAGCTCAGAGAAAGCAAAGGACTTTTGGGCCAAACCTCATGGCTAGTAAGAAACCGAGTCAGCCTGGGACTTTCTGACAGAAGGACACTTTCACTCTCAGCTCTGACCTTTGGTTTTCCCTCCTACCCAGGTTTCCCATACTTTGTCCCTCTGGCTGCCCTACTTCCTCTTGTGTTTGCCCACCTCATTCATTCTTGCCTTCATTACTTCTCACAGCAGGGGTCTAGCTTTTTTTTTTTTTAACGTTTATCAACAACAGTATTAAAAAATAATAAAATGTGTCAGTGTTGTCTAGTGATCTTTTCTGGAAAAAGGGAAAATATTAATAATTTTACTTCATCCCCGTGGACATTCCCTCCATCCTGCCTTTCTATAGTGGAATTACAAAAAAGCATGGGGTGGGTGTGGTGGATGGGGTGAAAGATGTTCAAACTAAGCTTTAAAAGCTGAGTAGGGCCTCCTTGGTGGCGCAGCGGGTTGAGCGTAGTGCTATGAAGCTGTCTGCAGCCTCTGAGCATGGGTTCGATTCCCACATGGTGCAGCAGACCTCTCCTGCCTTGCCCGCTGCTCCCCTCAGCAGTGCTTTCGGTCCGTTTGCCTGTTCTGCTCCCCTTTCTGTCTCTGGTGAATCTTCTCACCTTCCCATGCCTCTGTCCTGTACCCCAACTCTTGTATAAATAAAATAAATCTTAAAAAATAAATAAATAAAAAGCTGAGTAATGTTACCTTTTTAGGGCTGACTGGCTCTGTGACACTAGAGGGCGCTGTGAGCCCACCTTCTGAGCCATTTGGACACCAGTGGTGGTCCAGAATGGGGGAGGATCCAATAGTAACACTTTGAAAGCTGGAAAGCAAAAGATAAGTGGAAATTTAGTGTATACACCCACAACCAAGACATCTTCCAGCATTTTTTAAAGGAGCACCAGATCTCGCAGCTGAACAAGAGTGACCACTTTTTTTAAGTTTTTTTTTAAAGATTTATTTATTCATGCATACAAGAAACGGTGTGCAGGCCAGATGGAAGGTGAGATGACTCACCAGAGACAGAGTGGGGAACAGAACAAGCAAACTGACTGAAATACACTGCTGAAGGGAGCAGTGGGCGAGACAGGAGAGGTCTGCCTTGCCATGTAGGTTGCTCGCTGGCCGGGGATTGAACTTCTGCTGCAGAGGCTGCGTATTGCCACCAGGGAGGCTCCCGCTTTTTATTTTTTGAAAAGAGAAAAAATACTAAAAGAAAGTTTAGGGCCACCCTGGTGGCACAAGGGGTTAAGATGCAACCTATGAAGCTGTCCGCAGCCACTGCAGCACGAGTTCCATCCCAGCCAGCCAGGGAGCTACACACCTGGCACAGCAAACCTCTCCTGACTCACCCGCAAACCTCTCCTGACACACCCGCTGCTCCCCTCAGCAGTGTATTTCAGTCAGTCTGCCTGTTCTGTTCCCCACTCTGTCTCTGGTGAATCCTCTCACCGCCCCCCCACCTCTGGCCTGTACCCTAGTTCTTGCATGCATAAATCATAAATAAATAATCTTAAAAAAAAAAAAGCTGGTCTTAGCCAACAGTAGGGAAAATGTATATTGCAATGCTCCAAATGGCTCTGAATTAGCATCAGCAAGTAATTCAGAAGGTGGAGATAAAAGCAGGAAGACTGGGTCCTGATCCCCTACCTAGCACTTCAGTCAGATATAACTGCCTTTCTTATGCTTGACTGATTGTCAGTTTATTCTCTGGAGAAGGCAAACAGAGTCTGTAGTATTTGAAGGCGTTATCTTCTAGCTTCCACTGTTGATTTTAAGAAGTTCAGTATCTTTTGGATTTCAGTTGTTCCTTGACCCACTTCAGACAGTTGAAGGATTAGCTCTTTGTCCTTAGAATCTGGAAATTTTAAATGATGTATATTAATGTAGGTCTATTTTCATGCATCAGGCTGGGCACTTAGTATCTCCTTTCATTCTGGAAATTCTCATCTTTCTGTTTTAGGAAATTTTATTTTATTTTATTTATTTATTGTGGGACCCTCACCGGCAGCCGAGGAACGAACCGGCACTGCAGAGGCTGCGGGCAGCCTTGCAGCCCAGCGCTCAACCGCTGCGCCACCAGGGGAGGCCCTGTTTTAGGAAATTTTAAACCAGAAGGATGAATTTTCTCCTCCATTTTCTTTCTTTTTTAAGATTTATTTATGCATACAAGAACCAGGATACAGGCCAGAAATACAGGGGGTAAGAGGATTCACCAGAGACAGAGTGGGGAACAGAACAGGCAGGTTGACTGAAACACACTGCTGAGGGGAGCAGCGGGCGAGACAGGAGAGGTCTGCTGCGCCATGTGGGTAGCTCTCTGGCCGGGGATCGAACTCGTGCTGCTTTGGCTGAGGACTGCTTCATAGGTTGCATCTTAACCCCTTGCGCCACCAGGGATGCCCTCCTCCATTTTCTTTATTATTACCTCTTTCTGGCACTCCTGTTACTCAAATATTGAGCTTCCTGGACTGGCCCTGTAATTCATTTTATTTTCTATTTTTAAAAATTTAAATAAAAAATTTACTGATGGTCTGAAAAAAAATCCTTTTTAAAAAGACTTTACTTATTTTTGTGTAGAACTGGGGTGTAGGCCAGAGATGGGGGGGGCTGGAGGCCGAGGAGTGGAGAGGATTCACCAGAGACAGGGTGGGGAGCAGAACAGGCAGATTGATTGAAATACACTGCTGAGGGGAGCAGCGGGCAAGACAGGAGAGGTCTGCTGCACCATGTGGGTTAGCTCCCTGGCTGAGGATCTAACTCAGGCCATAGCGGATATAGCGCTGAGAGTTAACCTCTAGGCCACCAGGAAGGCCCTGAAAAAATTTTTAAAAGAATGACTATTCCAGGGCCTCCCCGGTGGCGCAGTGGTTGAGCGCTGGGTTGCGAAACTGCCCGCAGCCTCTGCAATGCCTGTTCAATCCCCGGCCACCGTGCGAGGGTCCCACATGGTGCGCAGACCTCTCCTGAGGTCCGCTGCTCCCCTCAGCAGTGTACTTCGTCAGTCTGCCTGCTCTGCTCCCCGCTCTGGCTCTGGTGAATTCTCTCGCCCTCCCGCGCTTCTGACTGTACCCAGTGCTTGTATAAATCAATAAATAAACCTAAAAAAAAAAAGACTTAAAAAAATGACTATTCCAGAAAACTGTCACTACACCATGCATTGCATCCATCATGTTAAAAGGTGTGTTGGACAAAAATATAAAAACCATGAGACAAGCCACTCTTCTTCAACAGTCTGAGTAAAGAGAAATGATCTTTTGCATTTTTAATTTCTCTTCTGATTAAGTACTTGAAAAAAATTCTGCTAGCATGCTTCATTTTAAGGCCTCATGTTTGTTTTCTGAATGTTCACTTCTTGAAACAGCATGTTCTTCCACAAATACAATTATCTTAAGTCTCTGAGGATATTAATGATTTTTTTTCTCTAGAGTTCTTCTTGATGCATAGCCTGTTTTCTCCAAGTCATTTTTTCCATTGTTTATGTTGGTCTGTCTTTCACATTAAAGGTTTTCTTCATGTATTTGGTGTCTGTGTCTATCTGCTTATACTTAAAAGTTTGGCCAAATTCTTTGGAAGCTCTTTCACTACAGGTGTGGTCTTGACCAAGGGTGATCTGACTTGACCTCTTTCCTTAGGAACCTCTCAATACTATTATCTTCAAGTTTTCTCTCTTTAACTGGTCAGATACCATGTTGTATGCCTCCTGAATTGAAGATACATTCCTGATTGCCAAGGTCTGGAAGCTGAATAAGCCAGATGAGGGGAAGATCTGTAATCTAAATATTTCACTAAGCAGTTCATAAATTTGTGCTTAATCATGCTGTTTCCCTTGGTATTTCCATCTTCAACTGTGCCTGGTGTCCCTCTGGCACAAAGGGCAGATGCAGCAGGTGCATACCATGGAGTTAAGAATAAGCGAGGAGTATGCCTTGTGTTTGACCCCAAACGTGGATGGTGCTTGGATAAATAAAGGATGAATATCCGTTTCTTTCCAGAGCTTCGACTCCTTATGTTTTGTAACCACATCCTACCAAAGAATTAATTCATCCCTTCAGTAATCAATTCTAGTGGCAGTTCAGGTAGGCAGCTGCTGCCTACGAACTCTAACACATGCCAGGTGGCTGTATCACAGCTCCCTGGTGCATTAAGGGGAAGAAAGAAATCAGTTATAAAGCTGCTAATCTCTGGCCCGACAGCTGGAGGATGAAGCTTAGGGCTGGTTCTTTTTAACAGGAAGGAAATTCTGAAAGCCAGAGTGTGAAGAGAAAGCTTAAGAAGCCCTTGCATCTGGTGGACTTGTGGGTTTTGTAGAAAGGGCATTGCTTAGATGCCTTGCACCGTAGTGTCAGGCCAAACTTTGAGGCCAGGATATGAAAGACATCCTTCAGGGCAGGGCAACTCCACAAATGAACTGACTTTCAAAATAGCAGTGGCATGGGGAAGGAGGGATCAAGGCAGGTGATGTCTCCCTCTCATTGCCAGGGAACTAATAGTTACTCCAAAGATTATAAGACCAGTGACCTGGGGTTGTCAGGGCTACTGCTTACTCCTTGAACAACCATAAAATTTGAAGGTCCCTCTTTCCTCAGTTTCTCTGAGAATGGAGGAGAAAAAAACTTATGACATAATCTGTCACCCAGAGTCAATTGAATTTTAATGTATCTTTTTTCAAGTATTATTTACATAGTTAAAAATGTTACTGCATGTGTAATTTTGCCTCCTGTTTTTAAACTTACTTTATCAGAAGCACTTATTTCCCATGATCATTAAAAAGTTCTTGGTAAACTTAAATATAAGGATTAACTATTTCCTTAATTTGGGCAACAGTTTCAGATACTTTTTTTATTTATTAAAAGGAAAACTGCCATATACATCTTTGTGCTTACACCTTCTTTGTGTCACAACAATCCCATAACTTAGGGAAATCGCCCGTCATATTTTAGCTAATAGTCCTCTATGCTGGTATGTTTATGTGAATTTCTAATGATTTCCCTACTAGAACAGGTCAAAAGGTTTGGTGTCGACAAAAATATGAAAAGTGTTAATTCCTTAGCCTTGAAACTGACCTAGCGATACCTCACTTCCTTTGGGCCTGATTTTAAACTTCCAGGCACAGAATGTACCAGAAATCGCCACAGCGGCCAAGGTCCTATTTCACTTCTGAAAAACAAAGCCATTAGAGTCAGAGAAAGTGTTCGGTTCCCAATTTTACAGGAACAGAGCAACGGTGCCACTTTAAGCCCGAGGCTGGCGCTCTCGCTCACGTGACGCCGCCGCTTTTCCTTTAAATTCCCCCTCACGTGACCGCAGACGTGCGCACACGCGGAGGGCATTCACGCAGTCCGGGCAGCGAGTCATCCCCCCTCGCCCCCCTCCCTTCCCAGCCCTGGGGTTTCTGGTGTTCCCTCCCCGGAAGCCACAACTCCTCTGAGGATTTTCTCTTTCTCATCCCCTTCTTCGTGTCACCGATTTACAGTCTTTCCCGTTAGTCGCCGGCCCTAGCGCTCCATCTCCCCTTCAGCACTCCGCTTGCCGGAGGCGCGACGACCGGACTACAACTCCCAGGACCCCTCGCGGGCCCCGCCCCCGGCGGCGCGCGGTGTAGGTTGGGGGCTGCGGTCCCACGGCCTTCTGGCCGCGTGCGCTCGGGAGCAAGCGCACTACAGGTTCCGTGGCGCCTTGCGCGCGAGCCGGCGGGCCGGGGCGGGCCGGGGTGGAGGGGGAGAGGCCTGGGCTGGCTGGCTGGCGGGCGGGCGGGCGGAGGAAGGGGGTGGGAGCGGAGGCGATGGAGGGGAGGGGTGGGGGCATGGGGGAGGGAAGGGGAAGGGAGGTGGGAGGCGGGGCCGAGCCGGGGCTGGAGCTGGAGTGCGAGCCGGCGGTTGCAGTGGAGGCGGTGATGTCGGTGCAGGTCGTGTCGGCAGCGGCTGCCGCGAAGGTGCCTGAGGTGGAGCTGAAGGATCTGAGCCCCTCCGAGGCGGAGCCGCAGCTGGGACTGAGCACGGCGGCCGTGAGCGCCATGGCCCCCCCGGCAGGCGGCGGGGACCCCGAGGCTCCGGCTCCCGCCGCGGAGCGGCCCCCAGCCCCCGGCCCGGGCTCCGGGCCCGCCGCCGCCCTCAGCCCGGCCGCGGGGAAAGTGCCTCAGGCGTCGGCCATGAAGCGGAGCGACCCTCATCACCAGCACCAGCGGCACCGGGACGGCGGCGAGGCCCTGGTCAGCCCCGACGGCACCGTCACCGAGGCGCCGCGCACAGTCAAGAAGGTATCGGGGCCGGGCTGCCTCTCGCGGAGAGGGAGGGAGGGACGGAGGCTGGGAGAGCCGCGGGTCCTCTCGGCGCGGTGGCACCACTCCACGCCCTCCCTTCTGAGCGGGGGAGCAGAGGGTCTCCTTTCCCCTGCAGCCCACTCTCTCCGAGGTGCCCCCTCTGGCCCCCCAGTGCCGGGGAGCGAAGACTCAGGTGGCACCGGCTGCGGCGCCGTGAGTAACATGGAGGTAGCAGCGCTCTCCCTCACTACTTGGAATAGGCGCGGGGAGAGGCTCCTGCTACTACCGCCCCCTCCCCCCGTGCTCCGTGTGTTATTTTCCACCTATCCGGGGAGAAGACCCCGACGGTATAGGAATACCTGGCCGCTTAGGAGAGCTCACCCAGCAATAAGGGTGGAAAGATGTGTTTTACTTGGAGAACGAGTGAGCAGTAGTCGCCTCGCAGTGAAATCCTCAGTTGTCTGGTTTCTGTACTGATGATGACTTTCTGCCTTTCGGTGGTCAGCCGCTTCCATAGAGCAGTGTCGATGCTGTGCCCTTCATTCCAGATGCTGCAATATTGCATCTCCTCTGAATGTAGAAGACTAAAGGAGAGATTCTCTTCACTCTTTTCTGCGATTGGTCCTCTCTGCTCCATCCTTGGGCTCCGGTGTGATCAGATCGTGTATGAAGACAATGATTGTTTTATTAATTCCTTTATTATGCTCTGAAAGTGTTAGGAAGAAATGCTGCTACTTGGAGGGAAGGCATCACTGTGGGGCTTTCTGTCTCAGCTGACCGCTTCTTTCAGGCAGTTTTGCAGAGGTAGTAGCCTGAGAAAACACCAAGGAGCGTGACGAGATGTGTGATATCCCTATGTTAATCTTAGAGTACCTACAAATGGTATCTGCCTTACTTCTCATAAAGCTGAATCAGCTTAGGAGGAGAAAGGGTAGGCATAGGAAAAGACAGGTGTGGGTCATGTGAAAAGAGATTATGGTCTAAATTTCCAAAGCATAATATGCACACAGTGATTTATGTTTATTGTTGTGAATAACTTTAATTGCTTTACCAGAACAGCAGTAAAATGATATGAAGTCTGCATTGGTTTCACTGTGTAGGACTCAACTGAATTGGAACTTTGAATCCAGACTAACTTTTGCTGTAATAGCCTCATGGTTCATTTATACTTTCTTTCTAATTACCTAAATATAAGCAAATGATGTCTGAGCAACACTGAAGGAATTTGTTAATGATGCTTTAGGACAGTGTCCTTGTCAATTGCAGTATGGAACTCCTCTGGGAGGAATTACAGGAAGAAAGGGAGGCAGTAGAGCACCAGTGCTGGTAGTACTAGTACTAGATGTGAGTCCGGAAATCTGAAACATATTTCTGACTAGTTGAGTTGCTTTATAACTTTGGCCAAAGCTTTTTCCTATGATTAAGGGTCTTTTGTGTAGAATATTAATTTGATTAGATCGCTTGAGGGTAAGAGTGTTTAGCAGATTGCTTTTAAAACATGGGATTTAAGTCAGGCAGAGATGGGCTTGAATCCTAGTATACCTTCCTTTGCCCCCACTAGCTACCTTTGGGTAATTTCCAGATTCTCTAAATCATAGTTTCCTTTTATATAAAATGAGGATATGATTATGATTAAGGATGAGAAATATTTGTAAAGGGCTTTAGCAATGAATTTGGCATATGCCGTAGAGGCTTAAGCAATGATAGCTATTATTGTTGTGAAGAATTGATTTTATTTTATACCTCCTCCCATGATGACTTAAGTGCATGCCACTATGACCTCTTCTGAAAGGTACACACAATTGAAGAGATTCTATATAAAGAAGTTAAAAAGCCACATATTAGCATCAGTCTTTTTCTGAATTCTTAACCGTTTTCCTTGTTGCTGAACCACCTTCTTCCTGTTTTCCCAGCATCCAAATGTAGGGTCTATGATTCTAGATTTACTCAGCAGCCTCAAGGCTATGGAAGACAGGGCTGAGCTTGCCTTACAATGTTAATTACAATCAAAAAACCTCTCTGCTTGAAGGTAAGCAGGTGAAGCGCTGGGCAAGGAAGCAGCTGTATGACACAGCTAAAGGCATTGCTGAGTTGTTTTGGGGGAACAGAATCTTTAACTTTCTTCATAATGAATTGGCTAACTTAAAATTGAGTATACCAGACTGCCCTTCTTTCTCCAAGTTGAAAGTCACTTCACCAAGGGACTACAATATAACATTTTGATTTGAGTCTTTCTTGGTTCTTAGAATATTTATTTAAATTATGACTGTGACCTTGACTCCCTTCTGCTTTTATTATAATATAGGGTGACACTGGGGATTAAAATAGCTGTTGGCTCTTGTAATTGATGACTGTTGCTTTAATTTTTTAAACTGTCATATAAGTCACATTTCCATTGTTGGTTTCCCTTACTCCAGTCATGTATCTGTCATCAGCTTTCTTAGTTCTGTTACTCTGCTTACCTACACAAGGGAAATAAACTTTTTTATGAGAGCCAGAATTCCCAAGTGCCATAGTTAATAAGAATGAACATACGGTGTGCAGGTTACTCAGTCACATCTTATCTTTGGCATTTACCTCCATCCTGTAACTTGTGGTGCTCTGGGGACCAGATCTTATCATTGTGACTGATATATTTGTATATAATGTCTTTATAAGTGAAGTGAATTCAACAAACCAGAAATCCGTTGTAGAAGTGATTTGTGAAATGGGAAGATAAGTTCCCATCCCAATGAATGAAGTAGTAGTTGAAAGAATTCCTTCCCTATGTTCTTTTTTTTAAAAAATTATTTATTTTATTTATATATTTTTAAAGATTTATTTATTTATGCATACAAGAGCTGGGGTACAGGCCAGAGATGCAGGGAGTGAGAGGATTCACCAGAGACAGAGTGGGGAGCAGAACAGGCAGACTGACTGAAATACACTGCTGAGGGGAGCAGCGGGTGAGTCAGGAGAGGTCTGCTGCGCCATGTGGGTTGCTCCCTGGCTGGCCAGGGATCGAACTTGTGCTGCATAGTGCGGTGCTTAATCCCTTGTGCTACCAGGGAGGCCCAAATATTTATTTAGCATAGAAGAACTGGACTGGGGTGTTACCAGAGGTGTGGGGTATGTGTGCGTGTATGAGAAAGAGAGAGTGAGAGAGAGAGAAAGAAGAGAGAGTGGGGAGCAAAACAATCAGATTTACTGAAATATACTGCTAATGGGAGCAGTGGGCAAGACAGAAGAGGTCTGCTGCGCCAGATGTGGGTCAGCTCCCCAGCCTGGGGTTTGAACTCAGACCATCATAGTGATATCTCTGAGACTTAAACCCTAGGCCACCAGGGTGGGCCCCCTTGTGTTCTTGAGAATGGGGTAATAGGAATGTCATAGCATAGCAGGGAAAACAAGGCAGAAGAGGATTTAATTCAAAAAAGTTAAAACTTTCTGACAAAGCTGCGTGCTAGCTCAGGAATCACAGCTAGTTGTGCTTACGTCAGTATCAGTAATGACCATGTTCAAGCAGGCTATTTTTCTTTTGGCAAACGTTACCACCTTGCAATGGCTTTGTTACTGTCAGCAGAGAATGAGTTGAGCCATGCTAGCGCTTTCTTGCCCTGAATTCTTTAAGCTCTTGATTCAGTTAATTATAGATTACTAAAAAGGAAGCTTTTGGATATAGGCATGGGAATGTGGGAGCACTATGACTCCTTTTGCCAGTTAGGAAAGTACAGCTTTGCAAAACGTTCAGTAAGGGAATTGGCAGGCTGACCCTAATGATAGGGTCTTATTAATTGGCATTTCACTTGCCAGGAATTGTTAGTTTTAAAAATCTTGACAACACCACAGTGAGATAAAGTAACTTTATCTCCATTTTATACATAAGGAAATGAAGTCCAGAGAGGTCAAGTGCCTTGCCGAAGGTTATATATCTAGAGACTGGCAGAGGTAGGACTATAATCTCTCTGTTCCACACCTGCTTCTGAAGCCCCTGTTTTTTCCATTATGCCACACCCAGTTCTTTCTAACTTCGATGCTGTGTTCTGA